CCAAGGAGGCCCGCAGTGCCGCGTCTAGTGAAGAGGATTATGTGATGATGTAATATACAAGATGAAAGTTCTGATGATTAGGATATGTGTTTTTAGGCCATGGGATCGAGGGGTGTGGCTCTTCGTCCGCCGAATATTGCTTCGGCGGGTGTTGTTACCGTGTAAGATGAGACCGTCGCGTGCTGCTGGAACAAGAACCTGGCGATTCCACTGAACTGCTTCTTCCGTAAGCTGCAAAAGGGCTTTTTTTTTTTTCGTTTCGCACACCATCTGTTCTGTTTGCCCGCCAGTTGCAAGATGGTGCACTAATATGATGCCTGATGCCGGTTCTTTTTTCTTCAAAAACTTGTTTATTTTATTTGAAGCAAGATTTGGCGCGTTATCAGAAAAAAAGTATTTTCGGTAGGGCAAAAGTAGGTAAAAGAGACCGTAGAACGTCAATGACGTGTTTGGACGTCGTAGCAGGCATCGTGTAAACTTCCAGCCACTTAGAGTACGCATTGACCATGACTCCGCAGATGCAGATACGTTTCGCCACCCACCGACTGAATAGTGGATCGTTTTCAGTTACTGTTCATGATGGCGTTGGACTCAAGGAAGACTTCGAGTCTTTGCAGAAAGTTAGCCCAGGTGCCAGGACTTTTGTCGAAAGCGGTAAGTGTTCGAAACGTCGACAACGTCGGTAGCCACGTGTTGTGCTTGACACTGGACACTTACCATTCGCTGAGACGAAACTTGCTTGTTCGTCTGCCACGAGTCGTCCGATATCAGGTCATCACCGCAACACCATCTCCCGACAAAACTGGTCTTCATTGTCCGCATGTCCATAGTTAGCAATCACGTGAACTTAGAAATTCCCGAACGCTCATAACTTGCCATCGCTAAACGCCGTTCATTCATAGCGTCTTCATTGCAAATAAACGTCTTCCTATTTCTTCTGGTGGTTTTCATATTCCTCCTAAGCTTTACTTACAACATTATGTGTGTCGGTACTTCCGAAAATATTGCAACGGCGTTTGTTTTACCACTTACACAATGTAACCACTTTTACAACATCTTCCGGACCCCGTGAAACACAATATTTTGTGACGTTATTTTAGTCGTCATTAAAATGGTGAGGTAAGTACCGTAAATCGCGAAGCAGTTTACTTGACGTCCGCTACCACTGGTGTCTTGGAAGATTGAGTCTACTGAGCATGCATTGCTGCAGAAGAAATTTTCATTGATAGAATATTGACACGTCAATCAACATTTGATTCCTTCTTGGTAAGATTTATTGCGAAAGTCCGTTACAACCGCCGAACCGCATCTCCCTATATCGGAGAACAATTTATGCCAAGCCTGACATTCTCGCATACATCCGTTTGCTGGGCCACGCTACTTGAGCTAGCTGAGCACAGCTGGCAGCGGCGCGAGCAAGGCCACGAGGGGAACGTGATGGTGCTCGAGCCATCCCACTGTGAACCAATGTTTCGGCCACCCCAAGGGTGCGTGTCGCCATCTATTGGTTGAACTAACGCCTTGTTCAAGATGGCTGCCGTGGGACCGCAGCCTTAAATGTGTCGAAGTTGAAAACATAAAAATCAACTGCAGCAGCACTCAATGAAATTAAGAAACAGTAAATCTATTTCGGGTTATTGTTTCCTGTCAAAGCTTATTTGTCCTACATAAATTTTTAACATTACGTTTTTTTTCCTTTTTGCCATGTGTCTTCACAAAAAAAAAAAAAAAATCCACAGCAATTCTTTTGGGTTAAAACAGCGAGATGAAAATAATGGCAATTAACGAGCAATTTATCTCACAATATTTCGCAAGACGACGGTCACTTCCCGCAATGCTTGGATAGAAAATAAATAATAAATACATAAAACATATATTTTATTATAAAATATATTTATAATTTCTAAATTATTCATAAATGCAAAATATAATATGAAATATATTTTTATTGACCTCCGCGCTTCCCCGTGCCCGGTTGTTCGGCATGGCACCACGAGTTGCAGACTGAATTCTATGACAGTGTGAAATGCGGGACATTTTGAAGATTTGAAAATTTCTCGCAGGTCGCTGGGTAGTCGGGCTCTCGCATGTCATGCACGAATAAAAACCTTGGTGATCATAAATACCCTGTCAGTGACCCTTTAATGGAAACGCGTTCCTGTCGGAGCCACCTCCAGCTTTAGGAAGGTTACCTACACCACACATCGGACACTAGCGTTGCGTCAGAGTTCGGCTGGGTCTCGCATTCCCGCCGAGTGAAGACAATCGTCTTATTTACTGTCTATCTCTGTTCTTGTTCGTTTCACTCTGACTAAACCAGCTCACCTGCACCGCCATCACCACAACTCTCGTTCAATCAGTGTCCGGCTGCGATCTTCGGTGGGTGAGGTGGAAAAACCGCTGTCTTGTTCAGCGGGACAAGCTCCGCCTCCGGCACGCGCACCGAAGTGTGGAAGATAGAAAACTCGCGCTCGAGGCCGCCATAACCACGGGTGTACAATAATTGTAATTGTAATTGTAATTTATTTGCACAAGAAGTATGATGTATATGCGACGACGTGCGAGGCTAGGCAGAAAGGTAACAACCCTTACGCGTGTGCGCCTGCTAGCCGGTCGCCGCATACACCGTGGATGAGGGGAAAGGAAAAGGGGAAAAACAATTTGGGTAAATATAAATAGTCAAAACAACAACAACAGTGGTCAGTGGTTATGGTGCCGCAGCTCATGAGGCGTCCGACACCACTTGACGGGAAAAGAGCCTGCACAGTTCACGGGAGTCATCAATTGATGCTGGTAGAGGGTTGCGAGCGTTTAGTGGTATAGTTAGAAAGTCTCTGACGGCGGCGGGGATGAAAGATTCGCTATGGCGAGTGGTTAGGCGGCGGAGCGGCTCGGGTTGACCTGTCCTTTTGCTGACACGCACCAGTGACGCGAGGTGGGACCCCGCAAGCGACCCGTCGAGCAGCCGACAGACCGCACGTACACGTGATGTCCGCCTCTTCTGTCCGAGGGGTCGCCACTGGAGTGCCCCAAGGTCTCGAAGAAAGGAAAGAAAGAAAAAAAAAAAAAAAAAAAAAAGGCCCAGAAAGAAAAGGCAGCAATTGTAAAGCTACCACATAGCGAAAACTCCCGGCACTAAGCCACTGTCATCCCGCGTACCGCATGCAGGTCCTACTCGTCTGCAATGCTGGAGTTCACAGCAGAAAGCACAGTCGTAGGCGTCCCAGAAGGATACGCAAAATAGCAGCCAATGGGAGAAAAGACAGAACGTTCGGCCAGTTCGGCTCCAAAACGCCAATATTGCAACCAAACGAAGACTGCAAGATAGATATTTCCTTAATGTTGGAAAGATCCCCAGTGGTGTCCTTAATCCGTATACTGGTATTCTTCCAACTGGGGCCCTTATCTGGACACTTGGCGAAAAAGTCGGCGAGAAATTCGGCGGCTATGATTGGCCGGCGCCAAGGTAAAAAATGCGGCGTTGGCCGATCGCGGCCTCCGATTTCTCGCCGACGTTTTCGCCAAGTGTCCAGCTTAGGGCCCCTGGTCGACTCTGCTGCGGAATGCTTTAGCAACCTCAACTTTTGCACATGCAAGATCACGTGTATGGCGCATCGGGTTTGTTCTTGTGCGTACTCAGATCGTCCTCAAAAACCAAAAGATCAGCAGGTCATCATTTTAGAATGTTATTACTTCTATACTTGTCTGGCAATTCGGGTTCTGTTACTGTTGCATGTGTCCCTAAGGGTAGTGTAAGTGGGCCTTTACTGTTTCGGTTGTATATCAATTACCTACCATAATCAATTAAATCGACAATTAGACTATTTGCTGATGATTGTGCTATTTACCGAAAAATTGGCACACGTATTGATGACATTCTCCGAGACGATTCAAACACTATATCATCATGGTGTTCCCTATGGCAGATGAACATTAACACTCGTAAATGCAAACAAATTTCCGTAACTAAATCCGCCGCCAAAACTGATTACTTTCACGAACACTATAGAGCACGCATCACCGTACAAGTATTGGGGCGTGTATTTTACAGACAAATTATCATGCAACGAGCACATCGAGCAAATGACAAATAGCGCACTAAACCACTTGGTTTCATTACCCAAACTTTACATAGCTGCCATTAAAACAAAGCTACTTCCGTACAAAACACTTATCCTCCCAAAATTAGAATATGCAAGCAGAATTTAGAATCCACACCAAAATTGCCTAACCTCGAGGCTTGAACCTTCAGAGCAAAGCAGCCAGATTTGCAGAGATTATTCATCCGAAACTAATGTCTCGCTTTAAGAACTAACAAAACCCTTCTTTTAAAGAGAAAAAAAAAAGCCAGATATATTTTTTTTTTTTTAAGACGTATGTTACTTAGATTTTGATTTTCAATCTACTTACTGCCGGGAAGCCAATCTAATTGTGATTGGTGAGCAGATTGTTCACGACCATATGGGCCGCACTTCAAAGATTTTCATTCCAAGACCCTTCTTAATCCACAGCGCTGTTCTATTTGTGCTGCCACGTGATCCAATAGAGTAGATTTGGAACATAGCCATGGTTAATAGTGTAGTAGCAACCTTGGAGAATTAGAACAGATGGGGCTGTGACATGAACTCCCAGTTAACAGGACTTCGAGGACTTGATCATGCAGCCAGGGGCGGATGCAGGAATTTCCTGAGGGGTGGGGGGTCAGGTGTTGGTCAGCGTAGCATTTGTTTAGGAAACCCCTCCCCATCTCCCTCGTTTCAAGCCCTAAATTTTACACATGCAGAAATCAAAAAGGGGGGACAGGACATCCGGACCCCCCCCCCCCCCCCCCCCCCCCCTCTAAATCCGCCCCTACATGCAGCCTTCCAGCCAAATAGAGAAAAACCTAAAAGATCCGGGTATGGAAAAAATGACAACCTTACCAGTTCGTTGTCCCAGCCCAAAACGACGTCAAGAAGTGGACAGAGAAGTCACGCAAGAACTGCACACAACACAACCGATCCATCGAAAGTGAACTTTTTTTATTAGATAGCCATCCAACAGCCTTTTTAAAAAAAAGTTTCGGTAGATCTCGACGCAACCCCGCACCCCCTCCCCTTTGTTTGCTCATTCAGACAGGGAAAACAAAAAGGACCGGAACACTTAGAAACAAAAGCCCCTCCCCCCTTCGATCGTTGCACCCCCCCAATGTCGCCGTGGACACGCGTAGTATAAATGCGGTAGTACAAATCTCCTTCGTTTGGCTACGACTTGAGCAACTTCCTCGTCGTATCCGCTGCATATCTACGGAAGAGGAGCCGAAGTCGTCCGTGACGACAGTACAAAAAAAAAAAAAAAGTCGGTAGAAAGGGAGAAGGAGCTACAGACGGAAGTACAGATTTGACTTGGAAGCATCCAATGCTTTTTGGCATCCCTCGCCGAAAGGTGAAGACTCGCTCCGGGCCGCCCCGCTCACGCCGCCTTCTCCTGGGCTATGACTGCAAGACGAGGATGGCACGGGTAAGTTCTCGCGGTCCGCCCGTGGGCAGAAGTCTACAGCATGCCACTGCCAGTCTGCACGCAGCTACGACCGGGGATGCCGCCAACCCGCGCAGGTTCGACTTTTCGTTTAACGCCGAGTTCAACCAAAATTCGACTGTTGTCCTCGTGTGCAAAAATGAAAAGCGAGCCGAGGCAACGCGAAGTGCAAGTCTGTCAGCTTCATTTGTGGAGGTTGTGACGATGTCAGAACGCAGAGCTCCGACCGAGGGACAGTGGGTAGACCTCGAGGCAGCTTGCTTCGAGGTCTGCCCACCATCCTTCAATCGGAGCTCTATGTTCTGACGTCACCAGAACCCTCGCAAAAGTAGCGGTATGGTAGCGGAGGAACTTTCGCTCTACACACCGCCTAGATGACAAGCGCTGCGCTCGCTTTCATATTGTGCAAACATAAAACGCGTAACAAACTACAGTTTCAATTGCGTTTTCGTGAAATGCAAGATTTTCGTGCTCGAAATCTGCAAAAACACCACGCAAAAGGTTAACCTCGTTGAATTTTGAAAATTTTCGGCGGACCAGTCGAACCTCGAGGCTTGACAGACGTGTGCGACACCCCCGACTACGACTATACTGGTCGAAAGGACTCCAACCTGCGAGTGTGCTGAACCGTCGGGGGGATTTTGGCTAGCGACTATCGATTCCATCTGCGGCACAAGAAAGATTGGGCGACGGTTCAGGCAACTGCTGCAACGTGGGAGGATGACTAGACAATTTTTGAAATCTTGGGGTTTTGAGGTAGAAGGCCTCCAGGTAATGTGCTTTTTTTTTTTTTTTCCTTTCTCCAGTCTTTCCCTGTTTTGCAACAACATTACATTCCCACAACAAACCTTGTATAAAAAAAAAAAAGTTTTTTTAGTGCAGTTGGGATTTTGAAATACGATGTACATCTTAGACATCGGTGCGGCAATTAAAGTGTTGAAAAATAAAGCCTTTAGAGTTGCTTACATATTCCAGAAGCAGTGGTTTTAATTTGCTTCCCCATTTGAAAACTATGGCCATGAAAACCCACATAATTTTTAATCGTCCCACATCTTTACATTCTCCGATGCAATGGGGCAGTTGATGCCTTTCCGGTGCTGCCAAGTGTTTCATTGTGTTGGCGTGGCGTGTCTGTTTTGAGTGTTGCAGAAACTGAATTGGAACACTTTTCGAGGCATTGCATTACTGCACAAAATAAAGTCCTGTTTTGAGATTGGATGTGTGTACAGCCCTCGGTGGGAAACACATTCCAGTCATGCAAGCACATTGCATGACTGGAGATGGCTACGAAACACTTGTGAGGTACTACCAAGTAACCAACAAAACATGGAGCTTATGTCATATTGTTCCAGCATTACTTTATGCATGGCAAAGGCCAGACTTCTGTCATCTATCATGGAGTGAATAAGAGTGGAGTGAGGCAGCAAAGGAAAAAAAGGGGAGCAACAAGATGGGAGGGGAACAGGTTCACAGTGGCGGTCTGTATACTGTTTCATGCTTATACAATACCGTCAAAGCTGCTGGCATGAGCATGGGGCTTGATCTCTCATTTGCACGCATTTTCGCGCAAACCAAACTAGAGATGAAGCCTTGTGCTAGTGCCAGTAGATTTGACAGTGCTGTATATTAAGTATAAAATTGAGTATAGTTGCTCAACTCAAAACGTAGGACTTGATCAAAGTAAAGGGGAGCAGACTTAAATGCAACTAGTGTACGCAGTCTCCTTATATTGCAGGAGCTAGTGCCCTTTAGGTTAATATAAAGAATAGACGACAGGGTGAACCGGGAAAAATAAAGGACACATTAGAGCAATGAAAGTTGATTTGTTGTAATGAAGGTACCATTTAACAAGGGAAGACACCCCAGATGATTGTTTTCCAAGGACGGTTATATTGCGAAAATCTGTGCTGCATTTACAGGTGTGGCAATGGGCTGGTAAATGCCTTGCTCCCAGTCCCTTCAGCAACGCTGCCCACAAGACATAATATGCTACGTGCCAAACAGGTGTCGTATATCGTACCACTGTCCCGCGGAAAATGCTACATTGGGCAAACTGGCCGCTGCATAAATGACCGGGCATGAGAGCATGCTCAAGTTTTTCATTCATTTAGTTTTAAAGTTTTCCTGCTCCTTTCTGCCATAGGGGCCTTGTAAAGCTGCAAATTTTCCAACTTTTTGCCTTGTCTCCTTCGTTTGTCAAGCAAAGCAAATAAATATATAAATATATATACATGTGAAGGGGGGTGAAATGGGCCGGGTAGACTTAGACAACTGAGCAAAAATGCAACCATGGAGAGGCAAGTTTAACATTTACCTTAATATATACCGACGTATCGAACAGGGACAGTTCTTCATCAGGGTATAGATAGAGTATAGACATAGTATAGTATAATATGGATTCAACCCTCGCCGTACAGTTGCTTTGAGGCAGTTTGGAAGATGGAAAGGACAGCGGAGAGCCCACGAAGGGCGCGAGAGGCACTCACCCTCCTTGGTAGGGAGGGGGTTCTTCTCCAGGGTCTCCGCATGCTTGAGCTTGGATGGGTCGAAGGTCTCGATGCCCTCGATCATCTGCTTGTGCTCCTTCTCAGATTCTATGTCTGCACAGAGGGGGAGGAAGACCAGGGTCAGCAGGAAAGCAGCACGCTCACACCCTCCCAAAAGCAAAGCCGCAGTGCTGCTGCCCCGGCGGCCGGCGTGAGACGCAGGAACACGGGGGCTACGTCGGCATTTGGCCGACATAGCCCCCGAGTCCCAGCCTATCGCCGATGCAGTGCTCGCTTCCAGCCCCACGCCGGCATTCGGTGGGAGAGGTCGGAGGTACAGCAATGCAGCAGTGCTTTTAGAGGGGGGTTGTTTAAAACGACGGATTAGTGGTGAAGTAGAGGAAAATGAGATGGCATGCCGGACAAACATGAGACATTAGTACTCACGGGACCACACCACACATAAACCACACCGGACAAAAAGTGGGGTTCTCTACGCCGACAGAACCCGCGGATAAGCTTCGCATCGTTCGCAATACTTGCGGAACAAACGAATGTCAGTCGCACCATGCATACGAGGTTAACTTGTACGTGTTTTCGCTGCACTCTATATCGGTATTGGAGGTCGTGCGTGATGCACAATGTAGCGAAACTGTTTAAAAACTACAGGTAGACGGACCGATACAGACATGTTAAGTCACAGTTTCGTGGTATCGGCCGCTAGCCTGCATGTATGTTTGCCACTGCTAAGATCTGAAAAACAAAGTGGTTAAAACCAAACAGCACAGGGCAGGTTAAATAAATCCGTGGGGAACAGTCTGCACCATGGTTGCAAGCACCGGTCGAAAGTGAGGAAGCGAAAAACGCCGTTTAAAATAGACTCCCGATAATTATGCAATCGCGGTGTACGAAAAGAATAGCAACGTGTTAGCGATTGAAGAGCAAGAACAGCAGGAGCGCATTTCACCGAGACTAGATCCTGAATGTTCAGGTGCTGCACAAGGTCGGAACGCAAGACCATTTACAGTTTCAGTCAGAGATGCATGAGAGTGGCATCACTTAATTAAACTGATCTGTTCTTTACAGAGGTGCGACAAAAGTGAGAGGCTAAGGCACCTTTGTCGGTGATGAATCTTTCCCCACCAGAAACCCACATTTCTTGAGCAGAGGCATCAGTCTCCAAAACAATAATGGTTTAGTATGAGTTCGAAGAACCATACTTCCACAACCCTGCCGCGGAAGTGCAGCGGTAGATTACTTGTTCAGCAATTAAAATTGCTATATGTATTCCCGCAGCAAAAAAAAAAAAAAAAAAAATCCAAACGCTTTCACGCAATTGCTTAGAAAGCATAATGGTTTAGAGCATGCTGCTAATATGTTGTACAGGTGTAGTTAACAGACAAAATCGTCGCAATTAAGAGCATTTCAATTTTTTTTAACAGCCTCACGGGAGCGTCGATATTGTCGAGATTGAGCGTGCGCAAAGCTGCGCTCACTCTCTCCGATGACGCTGAAATGCCCCGTGACACCGACATCCATGCCCCGCGATGTTAAGAAGATGCAAAGCTGGCAGTGCTATTGCTGCGACAGAATAGACACTGTCTCCGATGCCGCTTGTCCAGCACCCATGGGAAGCTACGGAACGGAGCATACTAAAGCATTTAACTAAACTCCATTTCTTGCAGCCGAAGCAATAATTCAACGGAGCCAATCAAGCGACGCCAGAAGGGTATTGTCACAGGGCTCGTCTTCGTCGGTTTGCCATCACCAACTAAAACAAACATGCACAAAAAAAAAAAAAAAAAAGAAGTGCAGGACTATGGCACACGCACTGTGCGCAATTGGTTTAGTCGGCAATGAAAGCACGAGGACGACAAACTTCTGGCGCCGCTCTGCCGTCTCTGGGCGCCGGCCGCGGCTGGACTCTACGAAACGGAGCACGGGCCGGCTACGTCGGTTAGCGGGGAGAGGGAACCAGGCGGGGGGGGGGGGGGGGGGGGGGGGGGCACACGTCGTGCAGGGGGCTGGCCCCCGGCGGGGCTCTACCTTGCTTGGTGGGCTTGAACTGCTTCACCTTGGTCACTGTGTGCTTTAACCGGGACTTCTCAAAGCCCTTGATGTTGCCTAATAGCGCCTGCCTGTTGCTATCCGAGTTCATGCTGGGGCCGCTGAGGGTTCGAACAAAACAAAGAAAAAGAAATCCTCAAGACGTCCGTCGACGCACGCAGACAAAGCGCAAAATGAGGTGGTGTGCCTAGATTGCAGAGCACCTTCAACTGCTTGGTCACGTGGTTTACGAGCCGCATTTGCGATACGAGCTTCGACGAGGCGGCAAAAGCGTATCCTTTGCAAGAGTCTTCGTGCAATGCGAGTAGGAGTGCAGACAGTCTTCGCCTGTCTGCCCGCACTCCTACTCGCCGGGTGACAGCGCAACGCACGTGCACTTGCAACCGATTGGGCGCAGGAAGTGTCTGCCCTTAAATTGCGAACGCTCTCCATGGTTTAAGTTGCTTCCTCTCGTTAAACCTAGGCCCTCTAATTCGAGGCTTTTGAGAAGGTACCTCAGCTGGGTGTTTTTAAAAAGAGGCAAATCTTGCAGCTCTTGAATGAGTGAACTGATTCCAGCCAATTTTTTTATTTTTTTTCGTTTCAATAGTAGAAAAAAATAGATTTGATCTGAAAAGAGGCACGGAACTAGTCAATCTGGCAAATAACTAGCGCTCGTTAGGAAACAAAGCTTAAGAAAATCTAGCCGTCTCTTTTGGATAAAAGGAAGGAGAAAAGAATAGATTACGCATCTAGCCACAAATGCTGGCATCGACGAGGTTTTGAAAAATCGGCCGCTCACTCATGTGGGAAGTGCCACAAGACCATTATAAATGCATTACACAATCACCTAGTTGCGACCGAGGAGTTTATCAGCTAAGAGAGCCTTTCACGAATGTTCTAAGACTAGATAATATAACTAAAAAATTTTCACCTCCCAACAGCCCACAACAAGTTATACGAGTGCAGTCGTTAACAAATTGACGATAATCAATGTCCTTGTACACGGAATGCAACTTGCAGGTCCCGCAAAACACCTAGTTGGCGAAAGAAACATTTTCGCAACATTTCCCGACAATGATAGGATCGAGCATTTCAAAATTGCATTTTCTAAATGAGCAAGAAAATATCCAGGCACAGCACTCTGACAATCTCCAGTTTGACAGTGTTGCCTTTCTAACAGATGCTCATTTTCTTTAGAAAGTCATAGAAACATATCACCACAGCACACAGCTACTTTGTACCAGTGACAAACAAAGCAGTAGATAGTCATTTTGTTCTATGGAAGTTCAGACAGAAGTTGAGACCTGTCAAACTGCACACCAGCAAAACTGGAGGACTCACACTTTACCTTTCCTCGAACAAAGGGCACGCTGCATGTCTTACTAGACTCTAAAACACAGAGAACCATGCTCAAAGTTGCAGTTCACGAACGGGACAACGCACAGGACGGTCAGCACACATCCCAGCACCAGAGGAAAGAAAGAGACAAGGGAAAGACCAGCGCGAGATCGACTGCTGGTACCACGGGGTCATCCACACAACCTCCCTCCCGGCCAGAGAGTCGGGAAAGACTCCGAACTTTTTTTCCTTTTACTTCAAGGCCGCAGTCCCCAACTAGCAGCCTGTTTCGAAATCACCGACTCAAAAGCCTCGCAACGTAAATGTTGTGCTGAAAAAAGATTATTTGAGCAAAGTTAATCTTGTGAAATTAACTTCGGTAAAGATTTTGGGACATGTCCCTTTAAATGGAACTTGCAGCCTCGCTACCCGGGAGGTGTTGGCCGGGCGCGCGGGAGATTGTGTGGAGCCCGTCTGGGGCAGCAGACCCGGTCTACCTTCTTTCTTGGGCAGGCAGACGTTCTCCTGGGTCTGCACGTGCTTCATGCTCGTCTTCTCGAAGTGCTCCACCCCCTCCAGCAGGCTGTTGTGCATCTTCTCCTGCTGCACGTCTGCACCACCACAGCCACCCCCATGCCTTAACAGATGTGCGGGCTCACCTCTGGCGCAGGCCCCCCAGGGAGGACGACCGACCGACTGACCGACCTACGCTCCCGCTGGTCTACGGGGCGTTTCCGAGAGCCAGCAGGGCGCATTAATGAACCGACAGACTGAGTGCAATGAAACCTTCACAAAGGTGTCTTTAGGTGCATTTATTGTACTCAACTCCGAGATCAAGTTTAAGTAAAAACCTTTAAGCTATAAAAAACCCCACCTTTTCTTACACGCAGGAAGGGAAACTAAAAACCGTTCGGCTGACGCCACTATAGTCGCAGAAGGCGAGACAAAGCAAAAACACCAAAACTTCTAGACAAACACCCGAAAGCAGATCTAAGAAAGTGTGGCACTATCTGCGGGTGGCACCAACCGGACGGTTTGTACCATTTTCCTCCCTGTGCACAAAAAAAAAGAAAAAAGAAAAAAAAAACGGTATTTTTGAGGATTACATTTTTGCTCCGAAACCCACTCCTGAAATTTGAGCATGACAAGTGCACCAGCCAAGGACTAAGTCGTGAAAAGTTTCAATGTACTCCTACTCCATGGGTTCATTTATATGTACAAATATTTTCAGACCCAAATAACGCCCAAAAACTGCCTGTATGTACCTAGAGCCACTGAATAGGCAACACTTAGAGCATGGAGGCTTTGTCCACCTTGACATTTGAAAACAGGTAATCAAACCGAAAAATATGACGTTTCAGTTACAGTTTACTGTTGATGTCAGCTTCCTAGTTCAGTTTTAATTTTTATGGTTTCGGTTAACGGTTACAAGTTCCTAAACTTTTTTTTTTTTTTTCTGTTTCTCCAATAATTTGTTTTATTAAAATGCTAGACAGTCGCTTTATAAGAAACTGTTTAAAGAAGTCCCAGATATCAAACGACTTTATATAAAACGTAAATGTAAAACCTCTTCACATTCTTTTTTCTGTGTTGTTCCAAAATAGTTACTTGCAACACATCAGATGAAATTTTTTCCATCATCTTTGCACGATGGTCAATTTACCTTGTTTCTTTACACTAGCTTACTGCAGGTCAGGAACAACGGTGATTTTGAAAGAGCGTTGGATGAATATTTCAGAATTTCTGACTTATTTGTTAATACCCTGAAGGTGACACATACCGAATACATGTAGCGACTGTAGGACTGTGGCAGATTTACAAACAGAAACTTCATTATAAGCTCAACCACCGATTCCAAGTATTCTTAATCCTAAATTCAGACTGAACAGAAAAGTATTACCAGAAGCACCACTTGCTGACAGTAACTCTCAAATGGCCATAACATTCCAAGATCCCTCCTCAGGGTCATTCTTGAGAACAACTAATATTTTAATTTTTCGGTTAATATCGGTTACCGGTAAATAAGTTACTGCTTTCATAAATTTCAAGTAACGGTACAAAATAAAAAAAAATTGTTCCTAAACGGTTTTCAGTTTGAGTCCCTGCTTAAAATCGTGCTTGCCAGTTATCCGAAATCGCAGAAAACGCTTTTATTCCCGCCAGAAATGTTAAAGCTGGCCTCAACCGAGAAAAACGACATTGCCCGCGCTTCAGGACACTATTTCTAAAGCAAGAGAACTCGTTTCTTCAAACGATGGTCACGGCCAATTGTGCCCACCTGCACTGAGCACCAAAATGGCGGCAGCCATTTTGTTGCCTAATGCACAGCAGGCGCAATCGGCAAACACAGAGATTAAAAAAATGCGGCTTTCCGAGGTTAAAGCTTGGGTGACATTGTTTGGCACTGCTGAAAACTGTTTTAACATTTCTTGAGGAGTGCAAAATCACTTCCTGCGATTTAAGTCAACTGGCTACAACAATTTTAGGCGACAACATGACTTGAGTGTCGTCACTCCGAAGCACATACCTTTTAGTGGGGCTCTAGTGTCGCCCAGCACTGGTAAAAGGAAGCTGAAGCACTTTAAAAAAGAATGGTGTTGGGAGCGGCGTCATTCTACGGTGTTTTGCCTTCCAAATTTGGATACCGCGACGAAAGTGGGTGGGATATAGCGTCATTTCAGAAAAATGCGCTGCGAGTGCCACGGGGCATGCGGCAAACCTTCCGTCGCGTCTTATCCATCAGGAGTGGTGTCTTTGTGGGGTACCTTGAGCGAACCCAGAGGCGAGCGAGGAGCACCCAACACTGCAGACAACGTCACTTCTGCTAGATTGCCATGCAAATTTTAATTTGCAATCCCGTGTTCCTCCATAACAGCATAGAAGAAAAAGGCGATATGGACAGTATATAATTTTTGAGGTGACCATGCCCAGGCTCTCGCAGTTTTTTTTTCAAATTCGTAAGCCCCTTCAGCTGCCCTTAAAGTCCGCCTCTGTAACCGAACGCCAACCCAACTATCCAAATGGCCCCTTCAGTAGCACAGTCTGGAGATCAGTACTGCTTCTCAGGTCGGCATCCAGACATTTCAAGCATAACTGCAGTACCGTGCCACACAGAAAGAAATCAAAGGCATTCTGACGGACTACAAACCACCGCACGTTTGCACCGCCTACCAAATGGCCACATAAATCCACCAGCTGCCCATAAGCAGCAACCTGCACAACCTTGTAACCAGAGAAAATCAACATCCCAATCCCCTGACAAGAGCACCTTTCAATAGAAACAATGTAGCGGCTTTGTCACTCATGGTGCCACGGTATGTTGTAACTCAGACCAGCTGAGAAGTTCACCTGCTGCGGTAAGGACCTTAATTAAAGGCCTCAAAAGTCTAGCACATGCTCATTCGGCTAGTGCTTCACTAGTGTGCTGAATGGGCATATTCCACTACAGCAAAACAGTCGCAGCAGGCTACACAAAATAGCAAAGCGCAGTGCTGTCCTACAACATCAGGCTTACTCTTGTCCCAATGAAATGAGGTTCCCACAAATTGCATTTTAGAAACTGCACATACTCTAGATTGACAGCTAGGTACATGGTTTTGCCGGATTCCAAGATATTTCTGCCACGAGTCATGATCGGCAAGCAAAAATTGCTCAAGAAACTTGCGGGGTGAATGGTATCTCACGGGACTAAACTATGGCAAGCTATGCCCAAGGATTTCAGGCAGGCAGCGTTGACTATAGTCCAGAAAATATGATACTTTCGGATAAATGCCCAGCAGGCACCTTCATAGTAAAGTTTAACGCAATGTGTCAAAAAGCCAACACATGCAGTCCCTCCAAAGGGGCATCGCATCATCAGGTACATGCTGCACTGCAACTCAGACGAGCGATTGCGATTGTCATCCGACAGCGAAAGCCGAGGGGTGCCGAGGGGTACCGCGAGCCTACCTTCTTTTGAGGGCAGGGTGACCTTTTCCTGGGTCTCCGCATGCTTCAGGTTGGACGCCTTGAAGCTGAACAGCTCCTGCTGGATCTCGTCGGCCACCTTGGGCAGGTTCTCCTTGGAAGGGCTAGACATGCTGGGCGGCTAGGCTTGCACGGGAGGAAGCACACGGGGGCGGGCTAGAAGGTGAGGAGGGAGACACCGCACACAGACATGCTGGTTAGGCCCGGTTAGGACACGCCACAAGACACACGCATGACAGAATGAGTACAACACTCAAATGCACGGCAAAACATACTGCCCAGAAAAGGAGGTTAATTAAGGCAATATTCACACTGTGAAATGCACTTGAAGTTTGAAGCGATTTCACCTGCTCACGCACACCGGTTCGAAAATGACTTATCTACAGGAGACATAATGAGCATATCTTAGTGACCAGGAACTATGTTAATAACAAAAATAAGCGCAGAAATCCCCCAAATGATAGCCAAAAGATATAAGTGCCAAAAATAAGGAACACGAAGCACAACCCTAGGTTCTTGAGCTAGACGGCAGTTTCATCTAGTCAATTCGAGAGATCCAGAGATTAATGTACCATAGCCGCCGGCAATTGAGCAACTTATGTTCCCGCTCCTAGCTTGGACTCATTCTTGGGCCTTTTGATCGAATGAGATAACCTCATTGACTGCAGAGTGGTAATGACCATGCTGGGCCCGCATCTCTCCAACCGCCAGCGCCTGTAGACGTGCAAAGTGCATACATCAAAAACCAGTGCCGGATAGAGCGATTCAAAAGTATTCAAAGCCAAATACAAAGGACAAGGGCACCGATGCACTTCAAGTCGCACACTGGTAGGTACAATGGGAACGTTGTAGTTCCAATTAAAGCCTTCAGTAATCCGGAAGAAACAAAGGTCGTTCGGGCTCGTAAATCAACCGCTTCATTGGAAGGCAGCCACCATGAAAGCACCATGAACAATTTTTGCCGAATACATTATACCTCGACCAAAAGAAGGAAAAGACTTTGGAAAGGAAGTTACAGGGAAGGGTCCCATGTTTAGCAGAAGCAGTAGGGGTGTCCAACGTCGTGGCTTGTAGATGGTGCCAGCTTTCGTTCCATAGGAACGTGTCCCCACACGAGAACCGCACCTCTGATATGAAAACTACAGCTTGCGCCACCTATGAGTTGCCATGTCGAATCGCCAGGTTATATCTGGCGCCACTGCAGGGTGCTGGCCTCTCGTGCAAATGTGCCACAAGGTTCGCACCGAGAGCCGCCGACGCACGACCGTTTATCCGACGAATGCGAGGCAGACCGGGAAACAATCTTTTCCGTGCAAAAGTGAGAACGCACATAACACCCCTTTAATCGCATTAGCATTCATCTCAACAGTTCATCATCGGGAACAATGTTCCACAAGGTCATAACATGTCTTCCTGCAACTGCCATTTTTATACAATGAATGGACAAAGCTCCGAGTCGGCAAAGAAGGTTGACTGGTGTAGACAACTATGGTCCCCAGGGTCTCTATTATAGTAAATTTTAGAAATTTCAAAAGTCGTCTTGAAGCGTGAAGTAAAAGTCGTCTGGAAGCATGAGGTAACCATCCATAGTGTCAACCAAACCTCAGGAGGACAACATGAATTTTGAAGGAAACTTTGCGAAGCATGAAAAAATCGTTGTGTGAATATTGTATTGGGTTCAAAGCGAATTCAAAGCACATAGTGGTTTTGGACAAATATTTTCGAATTGGATATTGAATAGTTTTATTAATCCTTTTACTGCTGTTGCACCACGCCTCAACAAAAAAATCTGATGCATTGGGATGGCAACTAAACTACGGATTTGACATAAACTTAAATGTTTAGAGATGCCCAGCTATACCTAATTGAGTGGATTTACAAACCTTGCTATAGGCAAATATTTTTTCTCCAATCTCGAATTTAAACATACAAAAAAGAATCACGAATAATGAATGCCAGTTGTCAGGGCATTTCTGCCTAATATAACCTTGCATAAGGACCAGTTTTAATTTTGAAACATTTTCTGGCATGTTAATATTAACACTCCTAAAGTTTCAGTTCCTTTTTATATACACCCGGTGCGCGAGTGCACCATCCCGCTTTGAAAGAGGGCTTTTCTCCCAAACACATAAGTACGATGTTCAATAAAATAAATGCAAGGGCGCAAACGAGCTGGTGTACACTTAACATTATTCAAAAACCCCGAGACTGCAGGTCACGCTCGAAAGGAAGAATATTCATACTTTTCCAAATGTTGGTTGATCGCGGCGGCTCGCCCCCGTTGAGTGCGCTTCTTATCGAGCTCGCGTGCACTGCGGGGAAGCAACACCCGCGCGGAGCTCGCTTCCGCGGGTGTTTTGCTTCTCCGCAGTGCACGCGAGCTCGGCAAGAAGCGCACTCAAGGGGGCCAACCCGCAGCGATCAACACTTTGCAAAGCACGAATATCGCAGTTCATCTCGAAGCGAATATCGAAGACTGTATTACTTTAAACTGTTCGAAATTTCCAATATTCGCACAACGCTACCCAAAAACTATCATTAAAGACAAAGACGGAAAAAGAGGAGATAAAGACACCGTAGCAGCGTGGTGCGTTTGTAGCTTGTTTCTAAAGCAGAGTGGCCACACACTGGACAGACAATGGTTCTTAACATCGCACGATTCCCGCAGCTTAATGCCGGAAAGCTCGTAAAAGTGGGGCTGCAGAGGGAAAATAAAAGGCTACAGGGTCGCCACGCCTAGTGTTCCTGAATTGCACGAACAAAAACGTTATTTCTGCTTTCATCGAGGGAAATGAGCAGCTTTGACGGCCCTCCGAGCTTCCACCACCATTTTTACACGCATCGTCCTACTTGTCTTTTTCGGCTGACAAGTTGCCAGGCCGCCAACTCGTGACGTCACGGAAGGGCGAATACTCGTAGTGACGTCACAGATAGAATCCGTAAGACGACTTTGCGAAGATTCGCACGAGACGAGACAACGAAGCGGGGCAGAGACACGCTTTGTCGCACGAAGTGCAGCCAGTCCGTGACCGAGAAACCTCGGGCGGTCAAACGGCGGCGCCTCAAAGCGTCGACGCAGGGCAAGCGCGACTCGCACCAGATCGCGGGCGTTTCGAAGAACAGAGACGCGGGTCGAAGCCAAGCGGAGCGGAGCCGTCCGCACGCGTGTCACAAATAACCCGACGAGCTCGTCGACCGTGGCGAGGCACTCGCAGACAGTCTACGGCTCTGAGACAGTCAGCCGAGCAGCGCCCTCTTTCCGCCTGACGGCGGAATGGAGACCGTTACCGGTTCCGCCATTTTAGAAATAACTGGTGCCACCTGGCGGAAAACGGGGTTCGAGGATTCCGAGGATGAAACAATGCGCGGAAGGAGACGGAAGGAGAGTCATAAAGCGAATTTTGGGGCCGAAAAGACAAGCCAGAGTCGGGTTAAAGTTCACATTAAAAATAGTGCAAAAAAAGACGGGACAAAAAGACGAAGAAGCACACAGGACAAGCGCTAACTCTCCACCAGTCGTGAGAGTTGGAGCTTGTCCTGGTGTACTTCGTCATTTAGTCCCGTCTTTTTTGCGCGATTTTTAATATGAATGTTGATTACCAACTTGCCCAGCAGACCAAGCTTTTACAATACATCGGGTTAAAGGCCGACGACCAGACTCGAGATACTGCAAGGCAGAAGATCGTCCTCACCATGGGGGAGGAGGAAACAAGCAATGGTGTTAGGCTAGGACGAAAGGTAGGTGGCGCAAGCTGCCGCCCGTTACAACGGGTATAGCCATTACAATCCATCCATCCATGGACAGGGTAGAAGAGGGAGGCGCTCGCTCGAGCCCGTGTTCACGTATTTTCATACCACAGCCCCCGGAACCGGATATTTTCTTAAATGGTTCTCGAAAACCAGTTTATATCGATTTCAAACCTTTAGGGCCCTCAATACGACTCAAAGAAAACGTCACCCCGGGTGGCCTGCTGCGAGGCTAGGACAGAAAGGCCCGTGCGCTGGTGGGCTTGTTACTAGTTGGTGAAGCATCTTTACGGGTAAAACAGCGCGAACAAGGACACAGGAGATAGAAGATGCACACAGCGCTCCGTCTGTGTGCGTTGGGCTTGTTAGCCTGCCACCCGGGTCAAAAAGGTTAAGGTTCAGAGCTCTCGCAAGATACTCGGGGGGGAAACCTCAGACTCCGGGCGCTAAAGGTTTCCAACGTTACTCTGACGCAAATTGGGAGCGCGCTTATTTTCTTCTCGGAAAGAGGGGGCCCCTGCCCCGAAAGCGCGGCCCCCGGAGACACGCGGCAACGCAGTCTCCCGTCGAGCAGGGTGGGTCTATTTCGGGGCCACTGGGGGGCTTTCTGCTGAGCGGCGGGGGCCGTGCCAGGCCGCGTCGGCGAACGGCGGACAGACGGACAGAGACCGGGGACAGAAATAGAGCGGCGCGCCAGCCACTGCGCACAGACGCCCCGTCGACAAACGGGCAGCCGGAGACTCAAGCCCGGTTCGTGCGTGGGCGCAGCCAATAACCGCCTATAAAGCAAGGCTCTATGCGTACGTCATCATCGGTGAACCCACGCAGCGCCGCTTAGCTCGAGCGTTTTGCGGCGGGTCGGGGAGGGGAGTGACCACCAGCGATGACGTCGCTCGTTGGCCTTGACTCGGTATTGGCACCGCAAGGGCCACTGGACGTCAGAAAGAGAGAGAAGAGAGCAGATCCTTCGGTGACCGCTTGCGTCGGGATCGTGACGCATACTCCGAGACCCGCGGAAAGCTTGCCAAACAAGCGGACCTCGAGGACACATCGGGTCGCCGAATCATCGAGAGCGAAAGTATATGAATAAATAAACCCAGACTTCGCCGTCGCGTCCTGGACGTAGAAAACGCCAGTGACAGTACAAAAGGTGAACTAGGGAACAAAATATGTAACCACGAAGGCGATTACCTCACGTAGACGAGAGCACATAGCGTCTCAAACCGAGCAGTAAATGACGCGTGGGCAAACAGGAAAGTGAAAAGTCCGTTTCTAACATCCTGCGCGCCTTTCGCGTTTCTTTTTTTTTTTTTTTGCCAAGATGATTTATTTAGAGCGTTACGTGGCGGTGAGGGCACGACCAGCTGCTGCTGCGCACCCGCCACTAGAACGCAGCTAGCCGCAGGCGC